GTAATTTATATAGTTATATATTATATAGTAATTAATATTTAATATTATTATCTTTACTAGAAAGAGCTTAATTAAATACTTTAGAAAAGCTTTTTAATATATATTAATTAAATATAAATATAATTATTAAGGTTTTAATATAATTATAATAGCTTAATATATAGCCCTAAAAGTAGTAGGCCTTATAAGCTTAAACTTACTAACTATTTAAGCCTTCCCTAATAACTTAAGTAATATTAGCGGTGATTTGGCAACGCGGGTGATGTCGCCTTGCCAGCGCACGCGCACAGTTTAGCACCACCTGGCAGCTTCACTAATCGAGCGCATAAATCCCGATAATCTTATATTGCTTGTTATTTTACGCTATTTAGTCACTGGAATGGATCAATAACTATTCATTACCTTCAATAAAGGTAAGGAATGTTGGAGCCTGCCTAACGTTGATCAACATTTTGAAGTCGGAACATAAATACATCAGGCACCTGTGATCATCCATCATCTTGGTTTGAGCCGGAGGAGGATACTACCTACTGTAGGTTGCTAGGATGTGATCTTTGGTCCACTGAAACAAGGATGTTGCCAGACATGCCCGGGTACGAAAGGATGTCAGTGGATTGGGACGCAGCTGGATTCAATGGTGTGTCAGAGCAAAGCTGGACCTGCCATGAAGCCAAGGGCCTGTTCGTAATGGTATTGCCGTTACAGCGGTTATGCAAAAGCCTCCTCCGTCAGCCATCTTCCTGCCTCTCGAAACCATTTCTCTGCTAATGGCTTTGCAGCCTCGGCTCGCTGACCTCTTTTCAACCACCAGTGAGTGAAGCTGTGCTCTGCATCCGTCACCATTCTCCATCTCAACTTCCCGCCGTCCCTCTCAAAAGTCACGTTTTCCATACCAGTGACTTCCGATTCTCCCGCTAACCGGATCATCATCCGCCGCGCTTCATCGTTGAGCATGTCATATTCCGCACCAATCGCAAATATCCATTCCGGTAGCTCGTTCCTCTTCGCATATAGCACGCTAAGGCGAGGGTCTCTCTGATCTGTACCAGTCGGCAAGTACACATTATTGAAAATAGGCGCCAGCGTAGCGAGCCCGTCAACTTCTTTAGCGTGCCTATAAGGCCGAGAGGCCAACTTGTACTCGTAATCGACGCTCCAGTCTACTGGAGCATACCACGGTACTGCAGCTTTGATCTTGCCCTGCAGACTTGGAGACTGGCACGCCGATAATGCTAGGTTGCCGCCCGCACTGAAACCTCCAATCGCGATTCGAGAATGGTCAACGGGAAGGCTGTCATCCTGCAGAATCTCTTCCACTACAGCAACGACATCCTGAGTGGGTGTTGGGAACGTCGCCCTCGGTGAGAGAGAGTATTGGACACTGACGACGAGAAGGTTGAATTCCCGAGACATGAAGGCGCAAAACTCATCGTCATATGCTGGTGCGCCGAAGGCATATCCTCCTCCATGGATACTAATGTACATAGGGTGTGAATCCCCAGGCTTGTGAGAGCTTGGGAGGAAGAAGCGATGTTTGAGCTTGGGTCTACTAGGGTAGGACTTCGAATAAATCGGCTTGCCGCTTGGTCCGGCCGCGAGGCCGAGAGCTGCACGTGTCTTCATCAGTTGCCAACGGATGGCAAGCAGGCCTTTGATGACACATATGACGAATACGTATAGACAACGTGTTGACCAATGAATGGGTGCCCACAATAGGAGCGAAGGAGAGGTTTCCTCCATCGGAAGAGATGTTGTGATTGTCAAGCTGGTGAATCGATACGTGCTCCGTACTGGGTAAGCGGATGAAAACTAGGTACATAGGTACGAGAATTTTGTCAATGGTCTCGCAATTCCCCCTTCTTACTCATAGTGGGGCTCGATATCACATGATTCATATGGTATTTCCAGGATAATGCCCTGTTGTGGGGGTGATAATGTAAGTTGTCAGACTTCTCTCGGTCGAGAACGAGGGTGTTATTTAGGGCTCAGACTTATATCCTTATTATTGAAACTAAACTTGATGTATTTCAGTTTATTTTTTTTTTGTATAGAGGGGAAAATTCAAAGAAGGAAAATTGATCCTTATTATTCGAAGACTATCTTGGTAGGTTTTATGCTTAAAACTGTAAAAAGGTGAAGTAAATACTTGTGACGTTCGTACACGACTGGTCTACAGGGCATGCTAGAAGGTCTGGGTTTCGTCTTTGACGACTAGGAGGTGTACTTGTCTAGGCAAAGATTGGTACATTAGTCGCGAGGGTGTTTACACTTGGGAACTGGAACAAGAGTAGACGTAGAATGTCTATTAATAGCTGCTCAGATAGTTAGGTCTGTGGTATCTATCTAGGGGTTTGTATACTTGTGCGGTTCTTTGTAGCTTATCCAGCAGCTGTGTGATTCTGTTTTGGATCACTGTTGTTCGTGACACTTTCGCGAGCACTCTGTGTTGTGATCCCTCTTTATGACCTAGATTTATAGACTGATTAGAATATTAAATTCATCATTCAATATAGAAGTGGTTTAAAAGTCTTCCATTATTACACACACTTTAAGAATACACATCTTGATAATTCTATTCTACGTTAGACCTGATTCCCAGTAAGTGCTACAGGGTAGGTCATCCATGGGGCCTCGGATTCACGAGTTGGAGCAGCCGTGGATGGCTGTGAATTCGATCGGAAGAAATGTCCGAAAGTGGACACTACTCGTTAATTTTCTACCTAAATTATATGAGAAGACTTTTACGGAGAATCTTGAGCCATTTGGTTGGAAGAAAAGCCCAGTTTCAATGCACAATTGATGATCGGCCTCAGAAATGATTGGGCTGCAGCTTTTCACGCGGGAATTACCCCCTGCTCCTCTCTGGTCGGTCCAGCCTACTTCCCTTCCCGTCTTTAGACTGAGGCTAGGCTCTGCTTCACCTCAGCCTTTCATCTTCCGGAGGCCGGGTCAATAGTATGTGGAAGTTTGGGGCCAGGGAAAAAGACTACCGATCGCATCGGCCACACTCCCCCGCGTCGGATCGGTGATTTGGTATTTAGCATCACTTACCTGCAGATGGGATAGATAAGCTTTCTTGAGGAGTGAGCATGGATTTATCCTGCAAAGCGATCGGCCAGGAACGTGCGTAAGAGGCAGTCGATTACAAGACCTCCAGTGTTTGCGCGGTGGTCTCTATTCTACTTCGAGTCCCTCAGTCCGTTTGCCGGCTTCCGAAAGAGACAACAAAGCACTCACTGCCTGGCCCCTGTAACGCTTTGACAAGATCTGTGACAGTAGCGATGCGGCCTCTGCTGAAGGGATCTGCCTTCATTACGGGCGCTGCCAGTGGTACGTAGCATCCATTCCCAGCGACTATTATCCCAGAACAAGCTAGTGGTCTCATGTAAATGAACAGGAATTGGCCAACATGCCGCTGCAGCATTTGCCCGCCACGGCGTCACGCGGCTGGCCATCGCCGACATCCATAAAGATAATCTCGCAGCGACGCGTGAGGCCTTCCAGAAGCAGTTCCCCAAGATCGATATTCTCCCCATTCACCTGGATGTACGGAGCAGCGCCCAGGTTCAGAGCGCGATTGCTGAGACGGTGCGGGCGTTTGGGCGTCTCGACGTGGCAGTGAACAATGCTGGCATCGGGGGCAGTGGCCGATTGACTCACGAGATAGAAGAAGAAGAAATCATGAGAATTTTGGATGTCAATCTGAACGGCGTCTACCGGTGCCAAAAAGAAGAATTGGCCGTCATGGTCAAGCAGGAGTATGTGGCACCCCCTCTACTGTCTATCTGCTCCATCTACCACCCGGTCCAGACGTAAAGGTGGAAATGCTGAACAACGATGAAACCTCACAGAGATCTAGGTCCGAGGGAAGGCCGCGGGCGCATCATCAATGTCGCATCCATGTACGGCATCGTGGCGCCCTACCACGGAATGGCGCACACGGCGTATACGACGGCCAAGCACGGTAAGTGATTGGTTTTGTTTCCTTAATAATTCACATATTTTTCTATTTGATCGAGTGCCGAGAGGGAACTCGACCCTGCCCCATTGTCTCGCCACCCAATTCTATCTCTTCAGCCCCATGACCCTGTTCACGGCCCTTCTGACATGCCGCCGCGCGTGTAGCCGTCGTCGGCCTGACCAGAGGTGACGCGAATGCCTACGCAGGATTCGGTATCCGCATCAACGCCATTGCACCGGGATTCGTGGAGACGCCGCTCGTGCAAGCAACCATGGAACAAAGCGAAGATAAACCCCTGGCCCGCGAGGTGCGTCGCTCAGCCTTGGGCCGGATTGGGAAGATGGAGGAGATTGGTGATGCCATTGTCTGGCTCGCGTCACCGATGAACAGCTACATGCAGGGCGCGGTCCAGATAGTTGACGGTGGCCTTACGTCTGCTTGAGTTCTCACGATAACCCGAGATCCTCCCAACCCAAAGCGACGGGTCGCCGAGGTGGAGGGATCCTCGTGTCGGTCAGCACGCAAATTCCACTTCACTCAGCTGAGGCGGAAGCTGGGTCGCGATCGTATGATGAATTAGGATTAGCATCCTCAATATATTTGCGGCAGCCAAAGAGCTTTGTGGAATTACACGGCAGACGCTACCCCTGTAAATGACCCAACGCCACAGTGACAAGTCCGATCCTTCTCGCAACGACCCTTGATCCGTCTGCGATAATAGATAGGAATACAACATGCCGTTTCAGGGGACATTTCAAGCTTCTGGATTCATCCAAAGGCCCGCAATATGCCTCGAATATATCACAGGACATGTCCGTTCTGTCCTCGCCTTGCATGGACTCCACTCCTCGCAATCCTCGGGTCGATTTAATCCAATTGAATAAAATGCTGTCGGTCCCTCCTTCATGGGCCTTGAGGCCTGTATGACTTTCTGTTTGCTGTTTGTAGTGCATATGTTGTACCCCCGATAGACCCCCTTGGTCTCTCGCCCTCGCCCCCCCCAAGGTTCACGTATCGCGAGCGAGTATCGATCGACACCATGGACCAATATCCGGATTCAATGGATACGGAGACGTATCTGCGACAGCTTTTCCCTCGTCTGGAATGGTCGGAGCGCCACCTGCGAATGTCAGCCTCGAGCGCGGTCATGATTGTGACGACGACGATTTGGACCGTTATGCGCATCATCTCTCGACGCATTGGCAAATTCAGATTCTACTCCGAGGACTACATCTATTTCCTGGGCCAGCTGTTCTTCTACGGCGCCGCTGGCTGTGCCGTTGCCGGTAAGCCATGAACTCGAACCATCACGCAGGGGTGAAGACATTAGAAAGGCGATGATATGCAAGACTTGGCCAATCGCTCCTATGAACATATTTTTGATTGTTTTCTCTCTTTCAGTTGTTGCCGTCGGCCCGCCCACAGGCCCAAGCATGATCAGCGTCAAGTACCGGATCATGCTTCCACTGCGACTTTGCTACGCCGCCACCCTGCTCTGCGTCAAAACGAGCATCCTCCTCCTCGTCAAACGGATCTTCGCGCAGGGCTCGCGCTTCGTCGGCAAGCTCTGCTGGTTCGCACTCGCCCTTTCAGTTTGCTGGGCCATCTACGCCGGCCTCATCGAGTTCCTGTGGTGCTTGCCGGTCCGCAGCGCCTGGGACTCGACCGTCAAGGCCCCGGAGAAGCATTGCATCGACAAGAAGGTCGCATACGGCCTCATTCCAATCATCGATATTCCCATTGAGATCCTCATCCTGCTTATCCCGCTGCAGTCGATCTTGAAGCTCCAGGTCAAAACGCCGCACAAGATTGCACTTCTCTGCATGTTCTGTGCCGGAATCGTGTAAGTGACGAGAGATATCAGAGGGAAAACAAGGTGAGAAGCTAACGGGCTGCAGAACAATTGTTTTATCCAGTATCTACCTCTACTACATCATGACCGACTTCCACAAATCGTACTTTGTTTGCATCGTCCACGCTGGGGGTAGCCCAGATGGTCGCCTCCAGCACTGCCCTGCAGCCGCTGTTCAACAAGACCGCGGTGCGGTTTTTCAGCATGGTAACGGGACATAGCGGGCACAGCAAGAGCAACAAGTCTGGGGCCGAGAACTCGACGCAGGGGCTGCATGATAGGAGGAGCGTGAGGAACACGGTGCGAATGTCCCGGAATCCATTGGGGAATCATTCTGGGTTGAGGGAGCACCCCCCTCTTACGACCGAGAGCGAGGAATATCTCGCCATGACTTCATCAGATACGTGGGGACAGCCAAAGGATAATAGGGATGCTGTATAGTGGCATTCCCGCCTCTGGTTCTCTTAATGATAATATTGAATGATCGATGATGCGTTTATTTCCCTGCGTTGCCGCCTCCAGTGAGACGAAAATGTGAAAACATGCCAGTCATGCTCATCTTTCTCCCTCCGTCACATCTCTTGCCGCCAACTGCTGTATTGTCCCTGAAGAGCTTGTCCCGGCAATCTGGATACGGCTAATGCGACCTATGATCCCCCCCAACGGGTGGTTCAGAGACAAGTGCTGATCATGTCTTAGCTATCCGCAACCAATAGCAGGATGGGGCTGCTTGTCTCAACGCTACCAATACATGCCATCACTGACCAGAATAAGACCGACAAATGTGAACATTCGAGATGATGAACGGTAGGATAAGTCGGGAGGTCGGCAAATCCTTCATCTCGACCTAAGGCTATGGGTGGGTTATGTACCGTCGACACCGCTTTCGAAGGAGCTGTCTCGGTGGGAACACCGAAATTGGGTGGGAGAGTTCGGAAGCTGTCCAATCGTGTATTCAGCCTTATTCAATGCCGCCGTGGGAGGTGGTCCGAGTTTTCAGCTTGCCTACATTTGTGGTCAAGGGCCCCAGCCTATAGTTTGCCGCCGGATCTATAAAACAGCAAAGTGGTCCGTTCTGTGGGACTGATGCTAGACAAAGGCTTAACCAGATGTCTTGAGCGTCACGTCACCATAATAGATATGGGGTCTGTTTGCATATGTGGTTAGATTTGATCCCCAGATAATCTAGGCAGTGAACAGGAATGAGAACCGGAAGCTTTCAACTGGGGAATGGTGTAACGACTAAGCACGCGGAATGGTGATCATCCGAGTAACACTTGGAACTAAGACAACTTGATAAAAAAATGGTAGAAGCACTTCCATTGCAGGAATATAAAAGAGATTCATTCTTCCATCCTATGGACTTTTTTCAGCAGAGCAACTCATTAGCTACAGCCGCTCCCTCAATCAACAGAAATTCTCTAACCATCAAGATCTCCATTCTTTCAACTATCTCTCCAATTTCTTCTATTTGCAACCATGAAGTTCACAACTGCCACTTTCACTGTTGCTGCCCTTGCGGCCAGCACCGCTGCATTTCCCATGGCGCACAATGGGACTGCCACTCACATGGTCACTAAGACCGTCCGACTCGAAGCAGGTAGCCCCAAGCCAGTTACAACTCCCTCCGCCTCGAGCGATAAGTTACTCAAATTGATCATCGAAAATCTTGAAGCGGGAGAGGCTGGTACTATCCAAAAGCGCAAGCTGGATGCTATTGAGAACAGTCTCAGCTCTGCTAATGCCAAGAAGCTTAGCGCCCGCCAGACCGAGGATCTTCTCTCCCTCCTGGGACTCGGTGACGCTGGTGAGGATACTCCCAGCGGAGCTGAAGGTCTCCTCGATGGCCTTGGTGGTGCAGATGGTGGCGATGGGGGTGCGTTGGGTGGCCTCGAAGACTTGCCGGGAAGCGTCCTTGATCTTGGTTCCGATGCCACTGGCGATCTGGGAGGCCTTGAGAGTTCTCTTGGAGGACTGGGTGGAAACCCTGGAGGAGAAGGCGGCGATCTTGGAGGATTGACTGACAGCGTTGGGGGCCTCGGTGGTGGCCTGGAAGGTCTAGGTGGAGATTCTACAGGACCTACCAAGGAAGACGGTGGAAACCAGCTTGTGCCAGACCAGGACGGCAAGCAAGACAACGGTAAAGGCCCTGATCTGGAATCCATTACCGAATCCCTCCCGAAGCTGTCGGGCAACGACAAGGGAAAGACCCCTGATGTCAACGGTACTATTTCATCTCTTCCGAGTCACAAGGGCAAGCCCGAAGAGGGAGAGGGTCACAAGGACAAGTCCAAGGATGGAAACGATACTAAGGGCAAGACCGACGATGAGAAGGCTAATTAATCAATTTCCAAGGGTTCCGTACACTCTACGTGACCTTGATGGTAAATGGGGCAATGGACGGGGTCTCAACCACATCAACGGCATTCTCGAATTTCTGAGGGGACTGGCCTTGGTTCAGATGGAGGAACCAGAAGTGAAGAAATCATCTCATTTCTTGAATTTTCCATAATCTATTTCATTCTATTTCTATCCTATGCAAAAATTTCTAAATTAATTTTGATTATTACCCCTTGTAAATGCCTTTGTGAACGCTTTGTTAATCCCAACGTGTAAGTTCAAATGCAATAAGCGCCCGTATATGCATCTCGCAACTCCCTTATGAGCTTGAATAACCATAGATGTCGCGAGCCGACTTGCTCTTCGCGGCGAGAATGTCCCCATAACGGATGAATGCGAAGGGAATCACGCCCATAACCAGTGCAATGAAACCAAGGAGCGACGGAGCCCAGTGGATGCCGAGACTGTCGTACATTGGTCCAGCAGCGAGCGGCAGCAGAACCGCACCAATTGATCGAGTGGTACCTGCGGCGGCCTGGGCAGAGGCAGAGAGCTCGCGAAAGACGTCGTTGATGTAGTTGCTCATCCCGATGAAGACGAGCTGGAAGCCAAGACCGAAGAAGAAGCCGCTGAAGGCGGGAAGAACGGGGGATACAAAGTCCCATGCTGTCCAGCCCAACCAAAAGAGTGCAATGACCATGCTATTGGATTCGATTAGTTCGAAGCTCGTCTTAGGAATCATGAAGGGACATACAGTGGAGCAGCCATGCAAGCCAACGGTAAGCGGCGGTTCACCTCTCGGAGAGCCCATGGTTTGCCAGCCTCGACGGATCGATCATAGTACCAGGTCCATAACCCAGCGATGGCCATTGCAATTATAGCACCGAGGGCAGCTGTTGATTTGAATTAGTCGTTTGTTTATCAACACAGTAGTATTCGAGACTTACTCGGTAAGAAAGCAAGGCCAGCGACCCCCGGACTAAGGCCATAGTGTTCTAGAATCTTGAGTTAATATACTGGGAACAAGTATTTTCATAGACAGATTGGATATTCTTACTTTGGAAAAGAATTGGGTACGCCTGAAACATCAAGTAAAAAACAGAGTAAACCAGAGTGAGATATAAACAAGCGAAGAGCAGGATCGGCTCCGTAAAGAGGAGAACGAATGGGCGAACAAAGATCTTTCGAGGATTGAAAACGTGCATTTGTTCCAAAGATTCAGGCCCCTCAAGACCCTTTTTGATCTTGCGACGGATATCCTTGTTTTTAAGCACCGGGGCGAACGTTTCAGGAATCGTGAGCACAATCGGCAATCCCGGTGATGCGATGATGGCGGCAGCCCAAAAGGGCCATCTCCAGGATAACTGGGAGCTGAATCCTGAAATGATGGGACCAATGAGGGGGCCGCATGTTGTGACGGCTTGGTAGAAGGAGATGGCAGTGCCTCTTTCTGATGGATTATCAAGAATGTCTGCATAGAGGCCATTGATGACAGTCGTGGGAGCAGCAGCGTTGAATCCACACAGCAGATGTAGCCAAGAAACGTCCCAATAAGGACGGGTCGTCGTCCGATGAGCTCGCAAAGGGGCCCTACTACTAAGGGACTGATGACATATCCTAGCATGTATAATGAGTTCAGAAGAGTGAGCTGGACCTTGTCTGTGACAGAGAAGTGCTCAGAAATGGCAGTTAATGCTCCAGACGGCATGGAAGAGCCGAGATTGCAGTTGAAGGTGCAAGTAAACCCTGCGACGATGATGTGAATTTTGCGAGCCTAGAAATATATCCGCTAGGTTAGTTGTTATCATATCTAATGATGGCCGGCTAGCTGTCGATATGAATGAGCAGGATGTCATAACATACCCATGGTAATTTGGTAGGATCCCATGATTGGTCACCCTTCGAGAGCTGTTCTTCTACTGAGATTTCTATATTTTGTTTCTCAGCTTCCAAGGACCTCCTGGGGTCGAGAGTAGGTGCCCGGGAATCGAATTTTTCCGACGACATCGCTAATAGATGGTGTGGTAATGAATATGCGTTGAGGACGAGACGCCACCAGAAAACACCCGGCTCCCGATTTCCTTAAATAGGGGACCATTTAATGGGCATTAAGCCCGATTTTTCAAACAAAAACTATCACATGCCCCATTGCAGACCGCTGTCGGATCGGGTCTAGACACGCCTTTGCTGCAATTTAAGCCTGCAAAGCAACAAAAACTTTTCTTGGATCGTTTGTTTATGGACTGGCGGTTTCCGTGCCGGAGCCGGCGAACAGTCGAGTAATATGATTGGCCACAGCTTTCCGAACCTCTTTGTCATCGGAGGTGGTGCCGCGATTTGATTAGCTCCCAATTTCCGACGAACTACTCCATCGCGCCCTTCCATGCAACTCTCTTTTAAACTTCCGACTGTCGGCCCTGTTCTCAATCCATCAGAGATCTCTACAAGGATAGTTCGACCGTGCTCGGGTCTTCTCAGGCCTTAAGCGAGAGACGCTTCGCCATTTCCGCGATCACGCAATGACTCCTCCGTCTGACAATCGCAACCTGGACAATGCCTATGACCCGTCGGCCTCCTCGGAGAGTTCTCCCATCACCTCTGCTCAGAGCTCCCGAAGAACTTCAATTCAAGAAAAGAGGCGAACTAGTAGGTGGACCAAGTCCTTAATATCCACTCATGCATTCCACGTGTTAACAGTCATCGTTGCCACAAGACGGTCGGGCCTGCATCACTTGCCACCAGCGAAAAATTCGGTGTGATATCCTCACCAAAGGTGTTCCTTGCACAAACTGCTCCTCGCAAGGGCGTCCCGGCTGCTGCCCTTACCAGAAAAAGCCGAAACAACAGTCCTCTCTGAACACTCTCCAGTCTTCTCGATCTCCTGTGCCAATCCGGCCCCGAGGACGGCCTCCGAAGCGAACACCGGTGACATTGGCCCTTCGCCCGGAAGCATACATATCGCCCGAATCAGTAGCCAGTCCGGATTATGTCGCCAACATTGCCAGGCCGCCCTCCAAGTCTCCATCACGAGGCTCCCAGCAAACATGGGAAGGCGACGAGGTGAACGAATCCGGCAATCTTGCGGATTTCATAAGCCAGGAAGACTTCCGAGCCTCCGAGATCAGCTATCGCGGGCGAATGTGCTTCCTCGGTTCTGAGATATCCAATTTCAACTATCTCATAAGACAGGGCTCGCAGCAACCCAGCTTGGATCACGTCCTCCATATGAGAAACCGCCAATTCCACAAAAAGTACACCGTTCTCGACATCAAAAGCATCCCGGCTGAGGCTTTCAAGCGGCCGGACAAGAAGCTCGCAGATGAACTTCTCGAGGCCTTCTTTGTTCACGTGAACCGAGGTTGGCCAATCGTGGACGAGCACGACTTCATGGCCCATTATAACGGCAATGTCACGGCGAGCTCGGTTCCTCTTCCGCTGATGAATGCCTTGTTCCTCGTCGGGGCACACGTCCTGGCGCCCCAGCGCCCAGAGTTGAGAGCGCTGCAGTCCGTCTACTTCCGCAGAGCCAAGACGTTGATTGACGCCCGGTTTGACCAGGATCGGACGGTATATATCCAAACCGCTCTTCTTATGACGTGGTACTCGGACGGCATGGAGGAGATTGTGGCGAATGCCTGGCACTGGATTGGGATTGCGGCGAGGACTGCCCTTGGTGTCGGAATGCACCGAGATGCTTCTGCTTCGAGGATGCTCGAGGTGCATAAGCGGACGTATGTAAGGCTGTGGTGGGTTTTATTCCAGTTTGATACAATGGTATCGGCGGCATATGGCCGCCCTCAAGCTTTGTGAGTTGCTATTTGTGAAAGTGACTAATTGATCATAGTTCTTTGACTGACACGTTACTTTAGGTGCTTGGATGAATCGGATATGCCCTTCTTGGAGGCTTCTCACTTTGAAGGGATCCCGAACGCAGAGATTGATTTCATTACACGGCATACCCAACTTTGCATTATCATCTCGAGGACCATGAAGAAACGCTGGGCACTTCGGATCTCGGATGCAGAAAGGATCGAGGCAACCAGAGAGGGTGACCGTGCTCTCGCCCAGTTCATCACCCACCTACCGCGATCACTCCGCCTACCCGTTCATGAGTCTGAAATTTGGAAATCCACGCTCCACCTGACGTACAACAATTTCCTGCTGCTGCTCCACCGCCCACCTCCGAGACAGTCTCTGGGAGACAAGGCGGCGGAAGCGTGCACAGATTTGAACATTTGCAGTGATGCCACAGCGGGCATGACATCGATTCTGGAAACCCTGAACGCGAAGAACGGCCTTTCGTCCCTCTGGCTGTACGGTCTACACGGGGTGTTCACGTGTATGACACAGGTGAGTACCGAAATGGCATCTGAAAGCCCCTTGGTAGCAGCAAAGGCACAGAGGATGTTCGAGTCGCTTTCGGCTTCGCTTCGGGAACTCGCCTGCCAATGGCAGTTTGCAAAGGCCCTTGTCCGACTCTTTGAAGAGAGGGAGACGAAGATACGACAACAACCACCAAAGCTGGCCGGGACGAGCATGGCACCACAGCCACCGGACGTATCAGTAGGGGGCGATGTCCATGCCGATGGGAACGGGTTCTCCTTGCGCCCGCATCCGCTCTCCCAAGTTACTACGGCGCCCGTACTGGTGCACGGTGCGGCGCCAGACAGCATGGCCCCGGCATTACCCCATGCAGGGCAGGCTCTTGGCCCTTATGAGGGGTTTTCTGGAGGATCAAGCGTCCATGTTGGGTCCGATTTCGGTGATATATTCATGGGCGATTTCCCTTTCCAGGACGCGCCTGCATTGGAGGCTCTCCTGGCTGGCATGGATGGGAGTGATTTTATTTCTGGGCTGGAGTCTTGATTGTGATATTATTTAACTTTACAGGATTTCGTATTTATAAGAGTCACCGCAAAGGAAATTACTTTTGAGATTGCAACTAGGTTTAATTTCTATATGTTCTATCATTATATAGGAACACTGAATTATTGTCATTGTCATAGCCATTGGCCAGGAGAAAGTCCACTATGATCAAATAATGCCTTCTCCATTCCTATCCAGGGCGCGCCCTCCTTTCCCTCAAGTTTCTCCTTTTAGTGCTTCAAGTTCCTCAGGCGGAAGCTGCGGGCATGGTTGCGGCGGAACTTGTTCAGGCTGGCGGTGGTGGAGTTGGATCCGCCGTACAGAGCAGGGCCGGGCATCTCGTAGCTGGTGAGGGTGGTGTAGGGGTTGAAGAGGATACCGGGGTGGTCGGCAGTGTACAGCTCAGTTCCGAGGACACCCTCGGGGCTGTCGGTGCCCGAGCCGGTGATCTCAATGTTGAAGCACTGGGGGTAGTTCTGGGCACCGTTCGCAGAGCCGGCGCCGTGCATGGCAATGATCTCGTGGCGGAAGACGTAGTTGCCGGCGGCGAGGGTGGATGGGACGGTGGTGGGCCAGGTGTTGTTGTTGGCGATGAGGTCCTCGGCGGCCCAGACCTGGGTGGTCAGGTCGATGCCTGCCTCGTCAATCTTGACCCACTTGAGGGAGTCCTTGTCGGCAGAGGTGCAGTCACCGTCGCACTTGGCAACGTAGGTGAAGACGGGGCCCTTGTGGGACTCGGGCCAGTTGGACCAGAGGAAGTCGACGGTGCCGCCAGCGGCAACTTGGACGGAAGTCTCGCCGGGCGCGGCGTTCTTGTGGCAGTTGATGTCGGAGGTCTGGTAGGCGTCGGGGGCCACGAAGCCGTTGTCGAGGTTCTCGGCGTACCAGCCGGCGACCTTGGGAGGGGTCTGGCCGTTGACCTTGGCGTAGTAGTAGTCGAGGAGGAAGCCGCCGTGGGCAACACCGTCGACGCGGAAGTTGGGGACTGTGCCGTGAGCGAGGGCAGAGGCGGCAAAAGCGCCGAGGAGAGAGACGGAAGTCTTCATTTTTAAAAGATGGTGTGAGTGTTTGTTTTAGGTTGGGGTGTAAAAGAAGGTTGAATGTTGTATGTAGCGAAAGTAAGAGGGCAGTCGAACGGTTCCAGCTCCGCCCAGCGAAGTAATTGTAAAGACTGAATGAAGTGAGAAGATGAGATGAGGCTTGAGGAATGAAACATACTTCGGGGTGGGAGTTTCGCTCGCTTTATAGAATGAACTGTATGCGCGATTGCGTACCAAGCTTGGCATCTTCTCAAGACAACTCTTCAGGGCTACCAGCCAAGTTGCACTGACCACACGGTCACAGATCTTGAAACATGAAAAGCATCAGTCAGCGGAGACATTCCACGAAATGGGAATTCCACGATTGGCCAGTAAGCTTAGGGGCTGCAGGCACCGGACGATAAGATGATAGGAGGCAGTCTCAAATTGACTCCGATTTCCGAATGAGTAAAAGTGTTACAGGCGGGCCCGCCCATGCAGACAGGTCCCGGGAACCGAGTGGTGCGACGGGGATCTTGTCAAGGAACTGGAGCGTAGCCTGAAACTCGGAGCTGGAACCTCCGCGATCGCCATGTGCGAGGGGATGAAACCTCTGGGAACATTCTCTGTGCTCGTACGTGGAAAATTCTTATCTCTCGATTCCATCTTAGATCATCAAAAAAATGACGCCGGAAGGACAAACGTAATCGCTTGGCGAAAATTTAACGCACAACGTGGGCGCCAACTTGAAACATCGGGAGGAATAGGGGAGTTTGTATCTCGATTGACAGTGTATTCAGGTTGCTCCTACATAGTAGCTTAATCCTAGTAAGGCCCCTATCTACGTACTTTGCTTCTTATCCTTGGAAAAGGCCTTTCAAGTATCCGCTCCAATTGTCAAAGGTGGCATCAGCTTGCACAATTCCCCACACATCGCTGGCCTTTTTCGCAACATTTTCAGGCAGAGGACCTGCGTTGATGAATTTCAATGTTTCCTTCTCTTGCGTCGCATCCCTCGCCCCAAAAATGATGCCATCCCCGTGCTCTCCCTTCAGGGCAGAGTGGTAGACTACCCATCGAAAGGCGAGCTCGGCTCTGGAAATCCCGGCTTCCTCTGCAATGCGGCCCCAGGAATCCAATGCTTCCAAGAATGAGGGCTTGTTGTATATTGCCGAATACAATTTGCCCAAGAAAGTATCTGTGTCAAAACGGGAGACACCAGCCAAGAAGTCCTCTTTGGGCTTGGCAAGCAGCCCCCCTGCAATCGGGCTATAGGCATTATAGGCAATACCGAGCTTTCGCAGCAGCGGGAACAGTTCTAATTCAGGGAGGCGACCGACTGCGTTATAGGCACCCTCATAGACAGTCGGTACCACACAGTCATTTGCAACGGCCGCGTCGTAAAACTTCTGCACCTCCTCAGGAGAGAAGTTGGAGAGCCCAAGCTGCTTGAAGGCACCCTGCTTGTACAGTTCGTTATAGCCCTTGACTTGCTGATCCAGGGGAGTCTTGCTGTCTGGAGCATGGAGGTACAACACTTCAACCTATGATAAAGTCAATGTCTATCGCCACTGTGCAAAGGGTGGCGATACCTACCTGAGTCGTTTTGAGGAGCCGAAGGCGTTCCTTTCCCACCTCAACAATCTCGTCCGTCGTTCTCCCGGCAGCAAAGCCACCCTTGACCTTGGTGTGGATGATGAATTTCTTTGCGGCATCATGGTGAGCCAGCTCTTCTTCACTCCCCTCGTACAGCTCAGAAGTGTCGATGCTTCTAACACCTTCAGCTGACAGCACTTCGAGTTGGTCACGGATCAGAGCGCGGGCGCTGTCGACACCTAAGAGGTTGTTTAGGTAGGTTCCATAACCTCCCGCCCCAAAGATGAGGTTGATCCCGTTAGGAGCAGACATGATTACTGGTGATAGTTTGAACGATTTTGAATAAAGGCTTTAACAGAAAGGTGCTCTTCCTTGCTGGTTCGGGTGACAACGATCGGTGTCGACTTTCAAACAGCGGCGACTCGGACGAATTTATAGATGTCATACCAACTTCCAGCAGAGGAATAACCTACGCCATGCCAGCCGGAGTTATCAGGTCGCCTTCTCCGTCTCCGTCCCAGCCTGTAGTTTAGGGCGGATTGTGAATCCGTACTTCCATCGGCCATACTCCGTTTCTGCAAGCCCGACGCTCATTCGTGAGGGCGTATGGCAGATAGCTGCTTTGTAATTGACCCGGACTTAACGCATCCAATATCGTGTCGGTATGAAAGTTGCTCCGCTCGTAATTACACCACTTGATGTCAAGACTTGCTACTCACTCAATCATTCTCACGGACTTCGTATATCCACTGCCTCCGTGCCGGGCTTGGTGGAGGGATGGAGGAAGAGGGTGGGTGGAGAGGCATCGAAGCTCAGCCAATTGCGATGGCGCGCATACGAGCAAGGGAAACTGGGTGGATAATGGCCCAGCTTGTGCCATCCGTTAGCACCATGAGCATAACATGAGCTAAGTTGGCTGTTGCTTGTTAGGTGCAGTCGGTTTGATTATGATTATAAATCTTGTCAATGATCGCCTCTTATTGAAAACAAACCGTTGCATTGTGTAATCCTGGGTGATAATCATAGATCACACCTATTTTATACTCCAGGAGCGCAATGAAGAAGGTGCCTTTAGACAAGCAATTTCTACCTTCGCTACCTACCCTAGACAGGCGTAGAAATGTCCACTCATCATACACTTCCATCGATGCGTCACTTAATCCGAGTAGTAAAAAAATCACATTTGTATCCATAGTATAGTATAATGTGGCTTCAGAAACCAATCCATGATCTGGGGCTATTTACTTATGTCGGTAGTGGCTTTGAAGATTAACGCTTCCTTCATCATGACTGCCACGTACGTTTTGCAAGACGAAATTGTAACAAGGACCGATGTTACTATAAATAGATATGCAATTATGCAATGTCGTATTTTTATGGCAAGTATAAATAATAACAACCTGCTACACTTTTGGCACAAAATTTAGTGCACACAGGCCATGCCAATAGCATATTGAACAATTGACCAAACTCTGCGCCGAGATAGCATCCAGGTATTTCATTTCAGTCACTGATTGAACTGATATAGGTGCATGTTCGAGCGCCAGGTTTGAGCTATTTTAATCTTTTATCTGAGTTTAACAAATTCCTACCAAATTATATCACCATAGTACTCAAGCGGATTATTGTCACACCCATCAACGTTGAAGTCATGTTCATTTCATTAAGATCATCCTTGAGCGAGTAATCGCGTAAGGCCTAGACAAATACGTCTACCCAATTATTATTACAACCTTCTAGGTAAAGAAGAGCAGTATCGTAGTCCATCTAGTTGGAGATCTTGGGGTTCACTTTGTTTCTGTATCACGTATCGGCGTTAGCTCACATCTTTGAAGGGATTATGGGGAAGAGATCATTCCATGCGTGTGCTGCCGCCGGCGGCTAAGGGGATTTGAGATTTGAGAGGGACCAAATAGTGAGACTTACCCAGTGACCTTCTCGTAGGCTTGGCGACCGCCATCAGTGATCTTCTCCTGCTGGTCCTTGCCAATGTTCCATCCCTCCTTCTTGCTCACCTGACCGAAGGCTGTTACGATTGTTAGCCCAAGGCTCATTTGGCGAAGTCTTCATGTTGGCTTCGATAGGCGAATCTGAGATGCACATACCCTTGTCAACATAGTCGTCCGACTGGGCTCCTCCCTGCGCGGGCTGGCCTCCCTGCGCAGGCTGGCTCTGCTGGTTGCCGCTGCCCATCTTATCGGCTGCCTTCTTGACGAAATCCATTGTTGATATGAAGTTGGGGACTGATTTGGTGTGAAAAGTCAAGTATATTTGAATGATGATGTTTGCCTGGTGTTATGAAGAAACGACCTAATACTGACGGACTTTGGTTCTACTTATATACCCTTCTGGCGACTACCTTTCACGCTTCACGGCTGACGCGTGCCAGATGGAGGGTCCACCGACGCCATCAGCTATCCAAGGGCTCAGCGATGCCCCTCAACCCGCCTTTGGGGATCTTCGGAACACATGCCGTGGGACAAGTGTGAGGGGTAGGCGTCATATCACATATCGTCCCGCGCTGTGCGTCATTCCTACCAAGTTTTGGCTTCTGCCGAAGCCGTCGATGCTTTCTGCTAGATGTTACGTGCTGGCAAATCAGGAGTAGGCTGGCCATCGATCGACAGAGAGCCGAATTGCCGGTGATCCATTTTCGGGATTAGATCCCTGCAGCCCATCTCAGAACGACGTCACATCGGGCCTCTATGACGCCGACCAACCTGGTCGCGATACGCAACTCCGGCAAAGACGCGGCTAACAAGGTTGGCAGTATTGAATATGGGCGATTGATTTTCAGGGTCATAGCAATGCAGGAATTTGGGATAGAAGTCTGCTTCAATTATATGGTCAACTTGGTTGCATTAGTTCTTGCTGCTATTTCAGCTTGGGCCCTTGGCTGTTGCGATTGAGCTGTACAAACTGCGGTAGATCCCACAGCTTGTGGCTTTGAAAGGGTCAAGATATAGCATACCAGTAATTGATGGCGGTATCTTTCTCTGATCTCATGTGGCTCGTGCAGGCTAGATAGAGTTCCCACCGCGGGTGAGCTAGTTAGCTAGCGAAGGACCGGCCACTTTCACCTGGAGAGCCGGACCTGTCTACAAAGTACAGAAAATGCCAGATGTGGAGTCGAGGAACAGCTCATCTCTATGGAATTGTTAAAATCACTTCAGATATGAATGAATAGCCGTTCACACTGGAGCTGTGAATCATACCAAGAGTGACAGGGGCACAATGATATCATGAGATGATCCTCTTGGTCTTCATTCCTGTTTCAGGGTGCCCAGAAATTGCCTTGGAGATATTGCTACAGAGGTATTGCTACGAGGTGGAACATGGGCGTAACTTCTATTAAGAGCTTTGTTAGCGGCCCCTAAACGGTGCATCGCAACTTTCGTGGACGGAGTCTTCTACCAGAATACGGATCTTACCAGCTGTTGTTGCCAATTCTCTGTCGTTGCTTGGGCGTTTAATGGTGGAAAGAAACAGTGCCTCGCTTGCAACTCTTAATCATTGACTCTTCAACGTTCTCCGATTGTGGCGCTTCCGCTACTAAACCAGGGAAAATTTATTCTTTCAGGCACATATGTCAATTAATCTTTGTAAATGACATGCATGAGGTAATCTTTCCGTGGAAGATCCAGCTTTTTGAAGGTGTGTGACACCGAGATATTTGGAGAGGTTTGTGCAATGATGGGGTCTTTGGGAGTTGGAGTAGACTTGATTTTGAAATATATCGTTTCCATGCTTATAGAGAAAATCTTGTGAAGCAATAGAAGGGTGAACTCTCACCGTCGCTGAGCGGTTATGCAGTCAAGTTGTCAGAATTGTTGAACTACGATCCATAAGCTTCGTTAAAGTAGTCGGAGGATATAAAAGTGACTGAAAAGCCTAGGCTTAGTTATATCGCATGTTGTGGCAACATGCAGAAAGAAATTTAAAAAGTCTCAGATTGAAGACAATGCCGAGGCTATATGCGATCTATGGATTCTCAAGTTTCTATACATCATAGTTTACCTGAAAACTTGCTGCTCCACTGCTCAAGTATGTCATCAATGGTGTCCACAGATTCAGTAGCCATGCCATAGCCTGCCTGGAACCCTGTACCACCGGCGCCATAATTATGCACAATAATGCGAGTGTGGCCAGCCACATCAATGTCAGTGCGCTCAATTCTTGCACCGCCCTCTCGTGAAGGTCTAAGACCAGAGAAGGCTGCTAGAGTCTCGAAGCTGTGTTTAGACAACTCTGGGCTCAAAGCTGTGGTTCGTTCGATTATAGATTCGGCCTCGCTCGCGTAAGTAGAGCTGTCGCTATCAGAAAGATTTAGTAATGTGGACTCATGAGTGTGGAGGAAGATGAAAGTACCCGTTCCCTTTTTGCATGTAACCTCCCAAGATGACACTTCCGTTTGATTCAGGCCGGGGGATAATGTACGTCTCATAGTCTCGTCCATGTCTCATGACATTCGTATGCACATGAGGCGCACGTGCAAGCAGCACCTGGCCTCTTGTTGGATAACACTGGGAGTCTGTTACTCCAAGCAGAGTTTTTGCCTGGTTACCAACGCAATTGAAGACGATCTTGGTTTCGGGATTTGAGAACGGGTCTCTAATGTCGGAAACAACCTTTCGGACGAAACGAACTCCATAATCCTTCTGGAGTCTCTCGTATAGATACTTGAGATGATTTGGAGCGTTTAAGGTTAACGTAGTGAACGCTACACCAAACCTGACACCATCGGGTAGTTCGGCGGGGGGCAGAACTCGAAACTGTGAGTTGGTTAATAGGATGACACCATTATAGATGGGATTATTCCAAAGAGGGTCTAACATTCTTGAGATACTGAGCCATGTCCTGGATCTTCTCTTCTGGAACATTGTCGTCCCAATATTCAATGGATTCAGTCTCACGAACAAAGGTCTTTGAGGAACCTGTTGCCGCAAGACTGGATAAGTGAGCATAGCCTTTCTTATCCCACCGGAGCGCATTTTTATCGCGACCAGAAATGGCCGAGAAGTTGCATCCAGCCCTTGATAATGTTAGTAAACCAAAATCCGCATTCGATATATTCAGCTCACCATGGAGAAGTGTATGAAGGCGCAGTGTCACCCGGATGGTGTTCCGCAGCAACAGTTATCTGACCACCGAAGCCGCGTTGCGCCAAAACCAGGGCGACATTCAGGCCAATAATACCAGCGCTATAAGGCAGAGTTAGCTCCAGCTGGCTTTACAGAAGACCATTTGGTTTACGCACCCTACAATAACAATTCTCTCTCTGGAGTTGGCCATTTTGGCTGGATGAAGGGCTTTCTTGGTGTCTTGAATATGGTCAGGCATGGCTTTCCCCCTCTTTTTGAACCAATATTTCTACCTGGAAGGCTTGTTCATCGTCAATCGCGTGAGTCAACTCTCAACTGAGCAGGGTTGTTTCCCGTGGGCCGTTGTCGGCTGGAGAAGACTTGCCCGCGGGAAACTTTCCATGGGAAACTTCCGCGGGCTCTCCGCTTCCGATGAGAGGCTACGTCCCGCAAATCAGGAGAAGAAGCATAACGTAGAGCGATCTGCTCCCGTCGTCTGACACGCGGGATAATCGCGCAGATTCTCACGAGGACAGACAATGCAATGGCTTGGCGAGAACAGGAGATGGAAATCAGTCTTAATCGACACCCTAACTCAACGTTCCTCCAGAACAGCTCCTCCAAATCAAGGCGTCCACCTTTAGGTGGGCACGGATATCAACCCTTTAGCGACTCCATTGTCAAGGCGGTTCGAGGCGAATCCCCGACCTCGCCTGAGGCAATATATGAGAGGGGTCAGAACTAATGTGGGATAACCCACTTTACCGGAGGTCTGGCTGTGCCCAGTGGCCCACGAGAAAGAATATATATACTGCCTAAAAGTGACCGTCCAGCTGCTCTCACGTTTTCATGAGCATCCAACACATTCTTCCTTGACCAAAAAACACTATGCCTAGCGTTGTCGAAGTTACCCAGCCTGCCCCTTTCGGCGCAAAGCTGAAACAGAAGCTCGCGCAAACACAGGAGAAGGCGTCCAGAGACTTCCGATCTGATGTCGTCACTGTGCCAACCGAGGATATGATGAGTGTAGGCCCCCCCCAACTCAAACCGCACGTTCATATACTGACCCTACCTGATGCTTTTCTAGGCTATTGTGGATGCCTCTGTTGGCGATGATATCTACGATGAGGACGGTGACCGCTGTGTCAAGGCCCTTGAACAGAGACTTATCGAGCTGACCGGTATGGAGGCCGCTCTCTGGACAGTTTCTGGCACCCAGGGGAATCAGATTTGTCTACGTACACACCTGACCCAGCCTCCCCATAGTGTTCTCCTTGATCACCGTGCCCATGTTCATTGCTGGGAATCTGGTGCCCTGCCCGTGATTTCTCAGGCCTCCACCACAACCGTCAAGCCTAAGAACGGAGTCCATCTGACACTCGAAGACATCAAGCCCGGCATCATTGCCGACGGCAATAGTGAGTAGTTGTCGGTCGCTCCTCAAAGCTTTCCAACCGGCTGACCTTTACCAACAGTTCACTTCCCCCCTACTCGCGTTGTTTCACTCGAAAATACCCTCTTCGGAACCATACTGCCTCTTGCCCATGCTCAAGAGATCTCGCAGTATGTAAGATCGTTACCCCAGCCTGAGGGTCAAAAGCCCATCGCGATGCATCTCGACGCTGCTCGGCTATTTGACGGCGTGATTGGTGAGGGAGTAGACATTAAAGCGTACGCCGCCTGCTTTGATAGTATGTCTATTTGCCTTGCCAAGGGTATTGGAGCACCCATCGGAAGTGTCATTCTTGGAAAGAGGGCTTTCATTGAACGAGCTAAGTGGTTCCGCAAAATGCTCGGCGGCGGAACACGGCAGCCTGGTATGATGGCAGCAGCAGCCCTCTCTGCACTGGAGTATACACTCCCTCGCTTCCCTCTCGTTCACAAGATGACCAAGGACGCTGCTAAGCAGCTGGAAGCTGTGGGTTACAAGTTCACGCTACCTGTTCAGACGAATATGATTATTCTGGATCTCGAGGGAGCTGGAATTCCTTCGGCTGCATTTGTCGAGTATTGTGCACGGGAGAAGGTGGCAGTGTTCCCCATGGCCAGACTTGTATTCCACCATCAGACGTCGGAAACGGGTGTTAAGAATCTCATTACCGCTTTGACTAAGCTCATGGAGGACAAGAAGAACGGTGTCGC